TCAGGGAGCTGACCCCACCTTCCCTGCCACGGAGACGCCAAGAGCTAAACCCCTGGGAGAAAAGAAAACAGCGTCAGAGAAGCCACGGTCCTAGAAATGTGAAGGAGGCAGCAGAGAAAGACAGACACGTGTGGACCTGTGAAGAGCTGCCATGCCACCGCAAGGCCTCTTCTGCCCAGCTGGGCCCACCGAGCAAAGCCACGTGATCCGCCCCTGTCCTGGCCCCTAGTGAGTGGCAGGCAGGCAAGTCCCAAGCCCGATGGCTACAGAGTCTGCCCCAAGCACACACCCTCCTGATCATCCCGGCTGCTTTCTGTTTGAGGTTCCCATTCCTCAAAGAGGGCACAGATGGCTACGGGATCCAGGTCATCCATCCCAGGGAATGCCCCACCACCCTTGCTGGCATGACTCTGGGGGTGAGGCCCAGGGGGTGGCCTAGTGCACGCCTAGTCACCACCCTGGCCGGGAGACTGGGCAGCCCGTGGTGGCCAGGCCTCAGGGGTTCCTAGGAGACCAGAGCATTCTACATCACAACAGCCACTATCACAATAGGCCAGCAACAGACTGGCTGGAAAGGGGGGCTTCTGTCCTGGAGCTCAGACGACCTCTCAGAGAGAAGACAGCAGCTAATGGGGGGGGACCCAAGGAGGAGAGCTGATCCGGGAGACACAATTAGGAGGTGCCATGGGGAGACTCCTACCCAGAACTCCTCCCCCATCTACTCAGCCTCCAGGCACAGCTAGGAACTCCCCATCCTCCCACTGCCCCTGGTTTCCTCTGGCCTCCAAGAGCCTGCTCCTGATCTGACTCCTCACTTGCTACCCTGGTTTGTCCACCTCCATCTTTATCAATAAGCCTGATTTAGTGTCCTGGGTATAAGTATCAACTCATTTATTCAATAAACATGTAGGGATCACTACTCTGTTAAGGAATTCTGGTAGCATAATGCCTAAGGCATTTGACTGCTAACCAGAAGGCTGGCAGTTCAAACCCACCAGCCACTCCCTGGAAGGAAGGCTGGACAATCTACTTCCGTAGTGATACCCCTTCGGAAACCCAAGGAGGGGTTGCTATGAGTCGGGGCCGACTCAATAAAACATAACAACAACTCTGTGTTTAAAAGTGCCCAAGTGGTACAGTGGTTAAGCACTCAACTGCAAACCAAAAGGTTGGTGGTTCAAACCCACTGGCCGTTCTGTGGGAGAAAGACGTGGTAGTATGCCTCTGTAAAGATGACACCCTTGGAATCCCAATGAGGCAATCCTCCTCTGCCTTATAGGGTCGCTGTGAGTCAGAATGGACTCCACAGCAATGGGCTGGTTTGGTTTTACAGTGTTGGGCATTGTTGCCTGTACTAGGATGATAGCTGTGAGTCAGAGACAACAGCCCGCCTGGATAAAGCATAAATTCTCAAGAAGGTGTCAAGTATGCCAGGTGATGATAAGAACCAGGGAAAG